TGCTCGGCCGGGCAGGGGGAAGCAGCTCTTCCATTTTCTGCTTGGAAACGTGCTGTTGCTGCGCCGCCGGTCTCGAAAATGTCTCAATCAAAACTAATTCCGTGTGACGGTAACTATATGTCTGTGGTTATATTGTGCAAGTAAGTCAGTAGATAATGATAGGAGGACGCTTGCAGGTGAGTTAGGTTAATTTCTGGTCATTTTCATCAAAAGGGTCTAGGAACATAGAGGAAAAGAACAGTCTTCAAAAGCTGGTTCAAATTCGGAAAAAAATCTTGAGCTCTTTCAGGTGAAAGGAAACTGATGTTTTGGCTCTTTGGCACCTAACGGCCAAAAGCATGCTGTGTTCCATTAGAGCCTTTCTGGCACGGGAACTATATCAGGCGTGAGGGGGACTGTGGTTAAGGAGAGCTCAACAACAGGAGAGGTGCTAGATTACCATTAAAAACTTTTTTGAGGCCAAGAATAGGTAGGCCAAAACGATGCCACATTCCTTATGATGTAGCTATGCCAAATTTACCTGACCCCTTCTTTTTTTCCCCCTCTGTAAGAAGTGTGGAGATTTAACCCCAGGTGTGTGAAGTGTATTCTAAAAGGAACCTTGGAGCAATAGATGCAAAAGTCAGTGAGGTCTAAAGACCTTGCATGATACATTTTTGAAGCTGGCTGTTTTGTGAGGTTGGTTTGTTTAGAAAAACTGCCTCCACACAAGATTTTACCATTATATTTCATTTTAATATATAAAGGAGCCTTTTGATTCTGAGATAGCCAAGCTATTTTTGATCTGGTTAGTAACATCGTATGAGTCAAGTTTCATACAGAACAAAAAGATGCTCTTTGCTTCAGGCTGTAATTTGATTCTATCCAAGGTTGGAGAAAGACTTGCAATTTAATATAGAAAGGAAGAATGTTCATTGTATGCAAATATTAAGGTACCAACTTCTGTGGGGGTTGGGTTTTTTCTTTTCTTCTTCTAATGTAGCAATTTCTGATGGCTAACAAGTTGGATACAGCAATGTGGTTTTCCCGCTTGTTCACAGTTTACTGCTCGGCTTTATTTGTCCTGCCTCTTCTAGGGTATGTATTGTAATATTGTAAAATAGCATTAAAATTTTGCAAAGTATCTACACTCCTTTTCATAGAGTTGTTTTTCATGTAAGGGTAAATTTCTATTATTCAGCTTGCTTGGTTGCTTTTTATCAGAACAGTTTACAGATTTTTAGATTGGTTTAAAACACTTTTAGGTGTGTTTGGAAAATATGTTGAGCAACTGTAAAGTAGTGGCAAATGCATGTTTTTGTGTGTGGTTATGGAGTAATGTAGTGAGTTGTTTTACCTTTGGCACCTGTAGTAAGTCAGTGTTACCAGTTTTTGAGTTGTATTTTGGTAATAGTGCTTATGTACGATAATAGAAATACTTCAGGTACTGTGCAATTGTGATGCAATTCTCAAGGGTGGAAGACTTCTGAGCAGGGGCTTGGTTCATATGGTAACGTCTCCTCTGATGATTTGCAGGTTGCATGAAGCAGCAAGCTTTTATCAGCGTGCCTTGCTGGCAAATGCTCTTACTAGTGCCCTCCGACTACACCAAAGGCTACCGCACTTTCAGCTTAGCAGGGCGTTTCTGGCCCAGGCTTTGCTGGAGGACAGCTGCCACTACCTGTTGTACTCTCTTATCTTTGTGAATTCGTACCCTGTTACAAGTATCCTTTACTTGTGTCATCCTGGTAATGTTTTTAAATATCTTAAAAACTTGATTCTTTTCATCACCTGTGCCATGATTTGAAAAACTAGTTTAACCTAGAATATGTTTGCTATTCATAGAACATACTCTATGTAAAATAGGAGAGGCTTATGTTGATTGATCCATATTCAGGTTAATCACCTCTATAACTAGTGCATTGCAGTCTCTGGCTATTTACATTTTCTTTTCCTGAGACTTAAGTTCAGTGGATTTTATGACCAGCCTCATGTGATGCTTTGAGAAGTTGGTAACTTTCATTTATTACCAGTACGGGGTTTATATATGACTCCTCACTGTAAGGAGGACATGTATCATGCAGAGAGACAATTATTCAGTAGTAGTTTTTTCAGGTAAGTTATTAAACAGATAAAGTCTGCAAAAAATGGCTTGCTCCTGTGGCTTGTCAAAGGTGACATGCAAGAACTGACTTTTCTTTGCGCCACTTCGTATGTATGCTTAATGTCCTACTCTTAAAATGTCTCTGGCAGAGGAATGTCTATGTTCTTGCTCTCTAAAATCTGAATGGCTGGCAACTGCATGTTCTTTGGTGAAGAAATGCGTTTTATAGCATCTCTTAATAAAAATATTAGGACTACATGTATATGATAGATTTTAAGAAGTAACCTCACGTGTCTTTCATGCAGAAAGAATGCATTTCAGTAGAAATGCACTGGTGTGTAATGGTGTATGTTGTACTTTTGCATACCTGCATACACACACATTTTGAAGTTAATAAAAATGCGTAACAAAGACAAGGCGTAAGAAGCAAAGGGAAGAGGTATAAATATAGTTGTTAGACATATACATGTCTTAATCCAGTGTAGGTCATTCCAGCCAACCTCTTGCAAAGAGCCGTCAGGGTATGACTTGTGTGTTAGCATAGCATCACGGAGAAATGAAGCGCTTCAGCAGCCTGTAATTTTCCTTATCGCTTGCTCCAGTGAGTATTTTTCCAGTTCTGCTGTTCTCTTTGCTTCATGCTGCCACATATACAAAGAAGGTTCTTGACGTAAGTATGATATGCTGTATGAAACGATTAATACTGTTGATATTCTTGGGGTTTATAAACAGGTTTGAGTTGCAGCTATGGTTTCCTTTAGCTACACTAGAGGAGTTAGAGTGAAATTGCAGTATGGAATCTCAGCACAGAGAATCTGAGAGAATCTAATCTTCTGTTACGACTCCATGATACATTGGAGTTGACACTAATTATTTTTCTTCAAATGGTGTTCTTTGAAGGAAGCAAATGCTGTGTAACAGTTAAGTTGAAACTTAAGACATGTTTTTTCAAGCTAAACCATAGCCTGTGAAATGTAATGTTCTATTTCAGTAGTAAAATAACAAACTGCAGGATGAGGTTAGGAAGCAAAATACTTTTGAGTTGGAAGCAAAATACTTTTGAGTTGGACCTGCTGTTCAATGAATTGCCTTGTGCATCTTAATGTGACTCCAACCTTTGGTGTTCCTAACTAGGCTATCTTGCTACCGTAAGTACTTCCTCGTAGTGGACAGAATAAGGCTTGTGGCTATCTCTATGCAGCTGAACCTAAAATGGGTGTGTGAAGGAATTGCAACACCTCATGTTTTTAATTGAAATCTATGTAATTATGGAGTTCCAAGCTTCCGGTAGTTTTCTTTGGGATACTAATCTCAATACCTTTAAAGGATCTAGTCTTAAAATGCTGAAGTGACTTGTAAATGATAATTGTTAGTATTTTGATTTTTTTGTGCTAGAGAAGATAGGTGTAACTTGTATGTTTTCTGGCAATCTTTTTTTCCTCTTTAAAGGCACGGAGTTCAAATAGTCTGCCCTTTCTGAGAAATCTTTTAGAGAAACTGAATGCTAATCAACAGAATATTCTAAAATTCATTGCTTGCAATGAAATTTTCCTGATGCCAGCTACAGTTTTTATGCTCTTCAGGTAAGAATTACCATAAATGTTTTTAGAATTAGAAACTTTCTACACAAGATTACTTTTTGCAGTTGAGTTCTCTGTGGGTCACAGAGCTCCATTTGTATGGTTCTGGCTGACCAAGTCTTGAGCTTACGAGTTAAATTTGTTTGATTCCTAGACTTCTCAAGTTGGTGCATCATAAAATCAAAAAGTGTTCACTCTGCTATAACTGAGCACCAAAAAATCCATCCCTTTCATAGCATGGGTGACATTGGTAAATCAAAGTTTTTTCAGGCCTGTAACTTGCGTTCTCCTACATTGTTCAGCAAGTTTATTTTTGGTCAGTGTAATAGGATATTAAGATCTTCAGCTTCACTGAAAGTGTACTCTCATTTTTGACTATTAGATTCCAGAAATTTAAGTGGCATGAAATTTCATTGTGCTAAAAGTGTGCAAGCAGGAGTAGGTTATGTCCTCTCCTGTGTTACTTCTGACCAGTGACCTTTGTCTCTTTTTTATGATTCCATTTGGTTTTGCCTGCTGTGCAGCCTGTTGAATTCATTTTAGGGATCTTGAGCCTATGCATGTTGGAATCCTACTGAAGTCATACAGGCATAACGACTTGCCAGTCACTGAAGTTTGGGTCATTGCCTTTTAATATTTGGAGGGGGAATAATGCCCATTGTTCTATACAAGTCATAGCACTGTGAGAGCGTTTGTCCTGGGTGGTCTCACAGGCAGCAGGAGAGAGGCTTTATCTTCTTGAAAGTTGATAGAATGCATAATTTGTCTTTATCTTTTGATATGTCAGCTGAACACTTCAATGCTTCAGCCCTGAAGGATTCCCTTTCATTTAAGGCTACTTACCAACTGACAGATACACTCTATGTCCGGTATCTGAAACATTGAAGTGCTTTAAACTTCTCTTTAGGAGAACTTTTTTTCCCCTCTCTTTCTCTCTGGAGAATTTAGTATGTGAAGTGTTGCTACTTGATAAGTCATCTAGTAGATAGTGACGCTTGTAGAAGATCATATACCAAATTTTAAAATAGTATAATGGTTAAATGCAGCTATTGTGAGAATTTGTTCTTTAAACTGTTACAGCATATCAAATTGCTTGTAAATACTGTACAGGTGCAAGACTTCCTCTTTCCCCCCTCCTTTAGCTCACTTTCCTTTTCACTTTATATTTTTTCTTCTGGGTAAAGATATTGCTCATGCTTGAAGGAGCTGTAGTTACTGGAATTGTCTTGTTCATCCTCAAACAGAGCGTTTTAATACTGTGTTATGTAAAAAAAGCTTCAGTCATTACAATTAATTAAACTCACAGTATTTCTGTACTTTGCTATGTATGGTTTGTGTGCTACCCTTTCACTATTTTACAGCACCATCATGTGAAACAGCAGCTTTGTAAAGTATCAAAACCTTATTTCAGTGTAACTGAAATAGTCGGATATCAGCTTGGCATTAATACCTCAATATATCTATAATAGTCTTCAGTGTATTCTGAGAAGTTTTGCAAAAGATACTAGAAATATGGTCCAGGTACTTAAAGTGCTACGATTAGAGCCGAAAAAGCTCACTGTAACTGGACTATTTATGTCAGCCAATTTCTGTGCTTGACCAGCAAGCTTTTTGTTAATATTGAACAGGCATCCATCATCACTTCTGTGATTCTTTGCCCACCACCAGAAATGAGGCATATAAAAAAATGTCATAAATATAAAATCAATACACGAACAGCACTTCTTTAACTGCTTCATTGGGCAGTTTTATGCTATAATGTAAGCTTCTGCATTCGTAAGGGTATTGTTACGTACTTTTTCTTGTCAGGTCTAGATTATCAGAACAAATGTGACCCCAATCTAGCTTTCTTTGAGCTTAAGTAGTTTGCTTGTTTTTATTAGGAAAAGTCCTGTTGTTTTGGGTTTTTTGTCAGTATTAAGCTTTACTTCTCTATTCTCTTTCAGTGGGCAAGGGAGTCTGCTCCAGCCGTTCATTTACTATAGGTTTCTTACATTACGCTACTCCTCTCGGCGAAATCCATACTGTCGGTAAGCACTAAATTGATTTTGGAAGTTAACGTTTAACTGCATAGTGTTTAGGCATTCAGAAATTTGTCATTCTAAAATGAATGCATAACTCATAATACTAAATCTGCAAATGGTAATTGTACAATGTGGAATATACCTGGATGCTAAAAAAAACCCACCAGCTGGTTCAAGGTTACATTTATTTCATGTAACTGAACTCTCCTGAAATGTATCGCCATCCTTGAGTGGGAGCTTTCAGAACGTGCTTGTGTAATTAAAACTACACTTTGAGAGAAGAAAGTCTTTCAATTGTTCTGCAACCATTTACCAGAAAGGGATCCTTATTTTTAAATTCCAGGCCTATCTGAGCCTAAGTCTATACACGAACAGGCATTTATGAACTTGTGTAATGTTGACAGGAAAGAATCTGTGGATGATCTTAAACATGTTCATTACCTCCTTTAGTTAAGTTCATAAGTCAGGTTAATTATAATTGAAATAGAGCCTTATTGATTTAGTTTGAAAGTTGGTCAAGCCAATACTATTGCTTTAAACTTTGAAACCATAAATATTTCTATAAGCATTTGCTCAGGTCAGTGATTTCTCAGAACTTTTCTTATGACAGGTGTTGCATAGTGTAAGATTTTGTGAACATACTTTCCAGTCTGATCACTACCCGATTAGAAAATGGTTTGCTAAAGTACCAAGGAAGTGGCTTTGGCTGCTGTGGTATGCAAAGACAGGTCTGAGAATCATAAACTTAGTCGCCTCCTATTCCCTACTGTTTTGTAAGAAATCAATTGTTCCATCTTAGTACATGTTGTTTTTTTCTTTTGGTTTGGGTTTTTTTTGTTTTTTTAAACAAAAAAAAATCCACGAAGGTGTTTTACTTCTTTGGTATCTAAAAATAATTTAAGTTACGCAATACTAAAACTAACTTTCAATTGAACTAGTCTATCCAAGATTTTCTGCTGGCATTTGTGTAGTTAAGTTTCCCTTAAAGAATATTGGAATATTAACATTAAAGATTAACATCTTCAAGGGAAACTGGTGTTATGGGTTTTATTTCTCATGTCTGTCTTCTAATAGTTGCTTCTAGAGCACAGGGTTCTTGCATTCTGGCAAGAAGCAGTGCAAACACACAATCACCTCCCAGCTCCTTACGCTATTTCTGATAAAGCATTACTCTGTCTTTTTTTTTTTTTTCCCCTTGAAGGTGGAATTTTTCTGCTGTCTTTATATCTGTCCTCAGCTGGAAGTTGCTGAACTGAAGTTAATTAAAATGTTAATATTTAAAGGACAAGAATTCTGAAGCTCTTGCAAGATGCTGCAACACTGAGTTGATCTAAAGAACTTGCTAACTAGAGTGTGTGTGGGGTGTTGAGAAGAGAAGTGAATGAAAAAGATAGATTTAGATGATACTTGTTTCTGATAAATGCTGTAGGATTTTAATACTCTCTTTAAATCTGATTTTTCAGGACTCTCTTCACCGAGCTGAGGATTGTTGTTGAACACCTAATAATGAAGCCCTCATGCCCTGTTTTTGTAAGACGACTATGCCTCAGCAGCATTTCCTTTATAAGCAGATTGGCACCAACTGTTGCATAGCCAAATTTCAGGCACTTGTGTTTTGCGAACATTATGAGCAGCTGGCACTTCTGCTGATGATTATAAATTCCTGGTTTTACACTGATCTCACTCCAGGCTGTGTAAAAATGTGTATATGCTTTTCTTGGAGATAATATGAAATTTAGCATATCAAAAGCAAGTAATGGAAACTTAAAATTACTGTGCTGTATTGCTAATTGGTGAAAAAAAGTAGCTGCATCCTATCCAAAACATGCCCAGTCATACAGAATTGTTTTCTTAGGAATCAAGGATTGTTTGAGGTTGATTAAAACTTTAAGAAGTCAGTGCTCAGTAGGTTTATGTTAGTTGGAACTAAGCTACTGTAGGATGTCTCCAGTGGATAGCAGTTGGTACACATACCTATGCAGTACACTTTGGACAGTATTCTTCTGCTTACTAAATGTATCTGTAGAACCATTTTGTCTAAATTACTATACCAAATGTAAAATATGGCCCACTTTGAATTTAACAAAAGGGATTAAAGTCTATCAAGCTGGCATAGTTAACACCTTTTCTGAAGGAGAGGCTATTTTTATTAATATTACTTAAAAAGTACTCTTCCAAGTTTCTACCTTGTGACATAGTCTTACATTACGTTGTTGGAAGAAATCTCAAATCTTTGATTACAGAAAACTCTGTGCAGTTATCTTGTCATAAGGAGATATTTTATCAAGCCAAATTGCTGACCTGTAGGCTTTTCAGACAAAGACGCAATGCTTAAACTTTTAACTATCTCTTAAGTGAACTAGTCAATGTAAATGAAGTAATTTTTGCAGAATCATTGCAGATTTGTTCTTGTGTCTACACAAATGTGAGACTGCAGTAATTCAAGCATGTCAGCTTTTTAGAAAATTGATCTGTAGCTAGCTCTATATAAATTGTTCTTCCAGTTTCTGAGACTCTCATTGTGATGGGAAATTTGCATAAAGGATTGCACCTGTTTAGGCAGCTTCTGAAACAAATGGGTGTGGGATTTTTTGGCATAAATCCATCTGATGACGGATCTGAAGCCAGTGTCGTGACTACAGAAGTGAATATTAAATTGAGTGCTGATTATGCATTCACCCAGCAGCTGAAAGGTAGGTCGTGGAAAAAGAAGAATATCTGTCTGAACACAACTTCTTTGCATAAATTCAAGGTGAAGTATTTGCCTAATCTTCTGTAGTTAATGTTAATATTCTAATTGCTTAAAATTAAAGGGGTTTCATTGGCCTTTTGTAAACTTCTGTAGTACTGTACTTAACTATTCTTCCTTGGTTAGAGAAATATTATGTGAAACACCTTTCAAAACAGTCTTGAAGCAAAGTATTTTTCTGTAATTATTGAGTTATCTTGTTTGTGATGTGGATATCATTTAGACTTTGCGGTTGTATGAGTTTGTTAGATCAGAGCCATGTATTTATACTTACTTCATTTTTTGCTCAACCTGAACCAATTGGTAATTGAATATGATATTCTTTGACTACTTGTCTTGCTCTCTAAACATGATGAGCTATTTGTAGAACACTTGCACACTGCAGAAGGAACTGCATGCAGTAATGCTCTACAGCTGCTAAAGACTTGCAACGAGATTGACTCTTATGTGTATCCTGTAATTTGAGGATTTTATAAAAACTAAAATTTCTACTGCAATAAAAGGAGTGTTAAATGTAATTTACTAGGCTCTTCAAGCTTGTTTTCTCTCTAACAGAACATACTGATGCTTGAACCTGGAAGTTGAGCAGAATGCTGTCCTGCGTGTATGTGTGCACGTTCTTATATTCCCACTGCTGCTTCTGAATCGGGACATAATGTCTTGTGCATTTCTAAATTACTTTATCGGGAAATTTTGCCTTCTAAAGTGCAAAAATTTATCACCCTCTCCTTCAAAATTTAACCCAAGAATAAGCACTGCAACAATGATACCTAATCAGAGCAGAAATCTAGACCTACTTCTTGCCATTTCAATTCTTCAGTACTGTTCTAGACCCTCTTTCATGTTACAGGGTATATTTTTTGAGTGGTGACATCAGACTCTGTTCAGCTCTTTGCACCACTGTAATTTAAAAATTAATTTGGTCATGTAAGTTGGTCCCCCATACTGGGAGTGGAAGACAAATAAATACTTTTGTAATTAGTGTAAGCAAAATAGCATGTTCCTTCTGAGCAAATTTTTGTGGTCTAAGACTGCTGTTATGGGTGCAGTCTACTGTTCCTTCAATTGTATGCTGTCATGAAATTAGAGAAGAGTCTAAATTGGATCTGATGTATTGCAGCTGTGACTGAAGGATGCTAAGTCTTGAGATCCAACTCTATGAATGTACAAGGAAGATTAAAAGGAATAAGTGAATGAGATTTCAGTAAGTAGAGAGTTGGAAGACAGTGCCACGAAGTAGAGCTTATATGTGGATACCAAATTTCTTGTTAACTCTTTCTATTAAGTCTTAAAAATGGATCAAGAGGAGGAAGATCTTTCATAAATGGGATTTGATTTGATTTGGCTAGTAGTATGTCCTTGGCTTTGCAAGGAGTTACTTGACAAATGAGGCCTGGATTTTACTTGTGGCCTGGTAGAACTTACCTCTCTAATGTGCCAAGAAAACATGGAACAATGGGGTAAGAATAACTTCTAAGCGAAATAAATAGGGCAACTGACCTGCGCTCTGCATCAACTTTGATTTTTACTGTAGCCTTTAGGTTGCCCAAGTGATAACACTGAGTTTACTCAATGCTGGCAAAAACACTCTGTCCTTGTGCCTGCTTCCTTACCACAGTTTGTGACTGTTTCTAAACTAACGATTAAATTAAACACATGAAATGCTGGTTGTGTCCTGATAGCTTGAGATTTTTCTGGTGAAAAGAACTGTATGTTCATGCTGCTGTGCTATCAACAGCTAGCTGAGATACAGAAGTTGTAACAAGTCTGTGGTAGTAGAGAAATTTTGCAACTGACCATAAAATGCCTGCCAAGCCCAACTGCGAAGCAGAGGAGTTTTTGTCCTACTGAAAGGTTGTCTACCTAATGTGGTAATTGTTTCTGCTGGTATAAATCATGCTGGTTATTGTTTTTATCGTCCTAGCTTTCGTAAGTTAAGGTGCTCTTGCCTAAGTTCTGTGGGTAGACTTACCCCTTGCTGTGCACAAACTTGGTGTAGAAGTGACGCTCCAGCGTAGGACTTGTCTGTTCTCACCTGTAGATAAGTAAAACATCAGACCCGCAAGGTCTGTTGGAGTAGCTAATGCTAGTTGGGATTTCTTACACACGAAGTAATTCACTAATGCATCCATCCTTTCCTTTATTGTCTTTTATTTAATTTTATACTTTTATTGTCATTTTTGTGCTGTCACATTTATGTTTTGCTCCCTTCTTTGATGGATGTTCAAGGGGGGTGATACCCATTAATATTTTAAGTTACACGTTTTAAGGATTTTTTTAATATATTATAATTGTGAGCCACTGTTTGTTCCAACAGTTTTTGAGCTGCTAACTGTGTTTGTGATAGTACTGTCCAAACAACATAGCTGGTTATTTTGTACAGTCTGTGTTGGACCTTTTTATCGTTAGGTGCCTGTATTGCAACATTTGCTGTACAGATCCCTTGTTAATTAAGGAAGTACAGTTCTTGCCCATTTTACAGACAGGAACTGAGGCACAGAAGAAAGGAGCACTGGCCTGAGGTGATGTAAGAGCTCTGGCAGAGCAGGAAGTAGAAAAAAGAGAGTTGGGCAAGAGTTCAGGGGGAACTGTGATTTGTTTCTACACCACATATGACTTCTTGGTCCTGTTTCCAAAATGATACTAACTGCTGCTTAAACAGTTTCAAAAATACTGTACCTTATGGTGCTCAGATTAACGGTAGCGAAGACCATTGAGCTAGAACAGCATGTTTTTTTTAAAGCGATGTCAAAAATTGATTCCCGTGTGCAAGAGCTAGGTATGGCCCCTGGTATCTTCATCTTTCTGGTGAGGAAAAATAACAAAACAGAGTAAGATCTAGCACTTATATGCTAGATGTTAATAAGGTATGCTGATCTGTTGTCATTTTCTATAATTTTTAATTGCTGCAGTACAAGTATTTGTGGTTAAACTATACTGAAATTGGTTAGTGTATATTTGTACTGTAACTTTTAATGTGCTGTAAGTTTCTTAAAATCACAGGAAGAGTCAGGCCTTGCTGTTTTAAATCTCCTTTTAAGGATAGAACCTTAAGCAATCCTTTATTTCAAAGATGCATTATCAGTACAGATAATGTAATTGAATTTAATCTTAAATGTGGCTTCAAAAATATCTTTTTCATAAAATGTCAGCATTAGTTATTAACTTTTCTGCAGAAGCTAGCTCTGTGATAATAGCAGATATTGTGCAGGTAAGGGAGTTTCATTGCTTAGTTCCGTGCCATCCAGATGGTACAAACTTCTAAAATGAATTGAAAAATTCATCTTTTACTTGTATTCAAGGACTGAGGCACAAAATGCTAATGTAAGGGCTCAGAGGGGAAATATAGTTCTCCTGCATATTTGAGAAAATGTGAAGCCCTTTCAAGAAAATCTAATAAACATAATAATCACAGGCTGCTGACACTAAGGAAAAAGCACCTCATTCGCTCGCTCTTTTATGCAGCGATTTACTGGTCCCTACTGATTTTCAAATTGGATCACTGCAGTAAATTATCCATGCCAGTACCCGTGAAAGAAAGCACAGGGATCCATATTTGTTTAGTGCTGTGCTTAAATCAGCAAGAATGATAAATATGATGGTATGAAATTGGAAATATCAAGGGCTTTTCTCAGTGAACGAGCAAGTATCTCCATTTGTAATTTATTGTGACCCTTTTTCATTGTATGTGCTTTGTATGTCAAATATTTATTCTGAAACAAATTAAATTGTTTTCTGTATTGATACAGCTATGGTTTTGTTGATGTTCTTGAAATCAAATTGTATAGGTTTTTTTCTGGATTTAAAATATTACTAATGTTGTGTTGCAAACCAGCACTTGTTTAAGTTCAAATCTCCGAGTTTGCTTTACTGACCAACAGCTTCCCATGTTAAATGTTCTAGGTGTGTGTTGGGTGGGGTTTTTTTGGTTTTG